GGAACCACTACGGGGCCTATGGGTATGTGGAGAAGTCTCGGAGGGAGCCTAGGTTTGGGTTTAGGTCGTTCTGAGAGGCGTGCATGTGCTAGACCTTTTCTTTGAATGAACTAGAACTCAATGTGGAACAAGGCCGAAACAGGTTCAATGTGAGGGTCGGAGTAACTACAACTGCTCTCCCCGTTATCGTCGTCGCTCATACTTAAGTATAAGTATAGCATGATGGACCTCAAACGTTTATTCCTATATATTACGGCTATCAAGGCCCTTGCATTGGAATAAAGGACTCAGGCCTGCGCAACTGTCATGGACTGATGTCATGGACTGATACCGCAAGTCCTTGATACTAGCTCCTGGCAGGTTTCACCCTAACCCTCCAGGTACCCACTATATAGGGCTGAGGGGCTCTAGTACCCCTATAGTAGGTACCTGGAGGGTTAGGGCATCACTCCGGTTGAACCATCGAAACGGTACAGGGGGTCGGACCTGATTGTTCAGCAGGTATTGGCAAAGTTGGGTTGAGTTGGGTTTAGTGTTTAGGGTTTATAGGGTTAGAGCTCCAAACCCTAAACCCTAAGCCCCTAAACCCCTAATTGACCCTAAACCCTCAACCCTAAACCCTAAGCCCCTAAATCCCGAAATGAGCTTAGGGTTGCAATTTCAGGTGCGTTAGTCTTACCTTCTCTGCTTATGGGCAGTCTATCATTTGCTGAGAGGCTCCTGACATCCCAGCCAGAGTTACCGTTACAGGAGCCTTATAGGGTTTAGGGTTTAGGGTTTTGTCTCTATACCTTATAGAAGCCTTATAGAAGCCCTATATACCCCAAACTCCCCACCTGTAGTTTCCTTTAAAAAGGACAGCCACTTTGGATATCGCGGTCCCATCAGCCAAGTTGACCTTTTCGGCAATACGGTTGAGGGCTTAATGCTCAAGGTACGAGGGTGTTCCTCGAAACTGTGTCCCGGGAGCCATACCCTACCGAACAGACTGTGTTACGAAGGCGTGACAGCCATTCACAAGCACTACACTGTGGAAGAGTGGAAGAAGTGGGCAGAAGGCCGCGTTGTGTGACAGCTATAGTGAGGTTGCCAGTAGACACACAACAAGCCAACTCGGAAACGTGATATCAATACTCCTTCTGTAGATCAACAGTTTCGGAAGAGGAGAGTTCAACTAGGTGCAGATTTGGGATGAGTTCTGATTCCCTTTATTGTTTAACAAGAAGCCATTTGCCAGAAGTCATTTGGGGGGGGGTGGCTGTTAAACATCGACACCTGACCTATAGTCATGCTTCAAAGTCAGCTCGGGGGTTTAGCGTGACGCACATAGGGTTGGGGGCCCCAGGCTTCAGGGCATTGGAGCCGCGGGGCTGAAGGTTTTAGGGTTTAGGGTTTTTGGTTTAGGTCTTAGTCATATAACGTGCCTTGAGCACTGGCCTGAGCCACTAGGAGGTCCTTTTTTCGGTCACTCCAATGTTGTTCAAAGCATTTTCTTTCAAAAGAGGGACGATTGGGAATTCAGTTCCGTTCAGGGAGATACTAGTCGAAAGTTGGATTAAATCTTCGAAAGCTTCTGGTGACATTTCTGAACCATCTTGCACAGAAACCTTGCATGTAAGCCCCTACGAACTATGCAGCTTTTGTCAAGCGCTCTAGAACCCTTCTGAGACCCTCATAAAGACGCTTATAAAGGAATTCTCAAAGACCCTTTATACTTTAACGTCCTGGCAAGAAACGAATGAGGAACCTATGAATTGCCATGCAGGTCCTGGCAAGGATGTCATGGACTACGTGGCAGTGAGTACTGGGATCCTCCAAAAGGACCGTCGTTGACGGTTTAGAATTTAGGGTTTAGGGTTTAGGGATTAGGGTTTAGGGATTAGGGTTTAGGATTTAGGGTTTAGGATTAGGATTTGAGATTTAGGATTTAGAGGGTTTAGGATTTACGGTTTAAGGTTTAGGGAACCCAAAAGCCCGAAATCCTAACCTCTCGTGGCTAAGCCGTGAACCAGTCTCATTTGTGGGGAGTTGCTGGAGATACAAGGATTTATCTTATGCGCTTCTGGAGTTTGCCTCTTTTTCCGGGAGGGTGTCCAAAATGGAAGGGTCCTGCCACATGGGCTACATTATTCATTCGGGTTGAAATTTTGGAAAGTTCCATGTAGCATTCAAGATTGAGGCTTGGGATTTAGGATTCTCCTGATGAGGACGGACACCATAAGCGAGTTGTGTTAAGAGCTGGATCAGAGCCCAAGGAGTAGTGTTGTTTTTCGGGCTTGACGTTGTCGAGTGTTTACGGTGAAGGTTTCTGGGGTCGTGAGTTGCAGATCTGCAGAAGTGTTTGAGATCCCCACTTTCTACAACCTGAATGGTTGTCATCATACATAACATCCAATATTAATTTCATCCTCAGCGTTCAGTCTTCCGACTCACGTATGTCATCTGCAGGGATGGAGAGCTCGAAAATCGGGGGTGGGGGGCCCTCATATCCAAGTAGTGTGATCCCAATAAACAGGACCCGACCACTGCTCTTCAGCGCTCCTTGGTGGAGCCTGCAAAACTCTATCAATGCGTTTTACCGCCCAGTTTGTCCAAACACAACAACCTATGCGCTTATGTATTCCGTATAGAAGCCTTATCAGGCCTTGAAACCGCTGAGCTCTCGGCTTCTTCAGTCAAAACCGGCCTTATTCCAGGACATGGACAAGCTCGCTGAAATCATCAAAGCTGCCAGGGCCTTTCCAGACCCCTAAACCCTAAACCCTAAACCCTCTTCGGGATGCGAGCTGAAAATCATAGAAACCCCTTCCCAGTGTGGCCCTTGTCAGCTCCCAAGGCCTTCCGGCATAACCCTGATTTGAAAGGGAAAATCTTAGTCCAGCGCCACCAACTAATACACGACAGAAGCCGGAATAATAATAATAGTAATAGTATAATAACTAATTACTACTACTACTTTTACTACTACTACTACTACTACTACTACTACTACTACTCGTATTCCTTAGGTTTCCTGAAGATACTTCTGTAACGTCCCTTTCTGTAGGCTTTTCAGCTCCTGCAGTGTTTCGGCGCTTGCAGCGAGCGGCTTTCCCGAAAAGTGCGACATCTCCTGTTGTGGCTCCAAGTATACAAATAGTACCTACTTTGGGGTCTAAAGTCTATATAGTACCTACTTTGGGCTCTTTGGAGCCCCAGGGTGTGGCTCCAAGTATACAAATAGTACCTACTTGGGGCTATTTGGAGCCCCGGGGTTATGGATAGTAGATCGTCGGAGTGATTGCCAATACGATTCGTCAACTTTTGTATAATGCAGGGTTGGAGCAAAGTGAGCAAAGGCTAACATGCATCAAAGTTGCTTGACAAACTTCTACCACCATCGACCCCAAAACCGTTATTCGAAGTATTAAGGTGCGGGTAGTGGGTGCTTCAGGAAGGCACACATTACGTGCTGTGGGTCGTTGGTCCGGAATTGGTCTCCTTGATGCCCGATTTAGGGTTTTGGGGTTTAGGGTTTTGGGGTTTAGTGTTTAGGGTTCAAGCCTTGATGTTGATAAGGTGCCAACAGTGAAAATGGTTTGCATCGACGTTGCGAACGGCTACTCTGAGGCCGCGGATGGTGGGCGGGGTGTTTCTGGAGACGTGCTAAGGGCTAAGGGATTACTGGCTACTTTGTTTACTCAAGGCCAGTAAACCCCAAGCCCTAAACATTACTGATGGATATGATACTCCACACCCTTAATCTCAAAAGGCCCGAAGTACCTAAACCCTAAACCATAAACCTCCAGTATCCTAAAGACGAAATGACACTTAAAAGTAGGGGCCCTATACCGAAATACTATCAATCCCTATGTGGCATATGGACCTTAAACCCTTTTAGGGTTCATTTCGTCCTTAAGGTCCTGAATTACCTAAACCCTAAACCCTAAACTCTAAATCCTAAACCCTAAACCCTAAACCATAAATCCTAAACCCTAAACCCTAAACCATAAATCCTAAGTAGAGAACAGACCCGAAGCATCCCAAGGGCGAGCTTTTTCCTTAAACCTCACGTGCTCCGGATCTGCCACAACAACCCCGGTGCACCCCAAGCCGGGTTTAGGGTTTAGGGTTTAGGGTTTAGGGTTTAGAGTTTAGGGTTTAGGGTTTAGGGTTTAGGGATTCGAGGTCCTTCTTGTTCGTCTTTATCCAAATCGTCTAAGTCTAAGCGACGAAAATCCATGTTCGATAATTTCCAAATCCATCTCCATGTCACATAGAATCACTTTCCGAGGAGTGATGTAACGAACAAATTTAGTTCACAGTATAAAGCGATCATAGGAGCTGATTTTTAACAAAGGAGGTGGAAGTTGAAGACACAATAGCAACGATGCAGGTTTTTCTAGACATGGGATACTGCCGGCCACTGAAATCCCCGAATCTTCAGAATGGGGTGCTAGTGAATGGGATGAGCCAACAGTATTAGATAAAGACTTAGGGGGTCCTAGAGAAAAAAACTTAAACTTTGGTTTTTTAATACTTAAAACACGGCTAGAATGATACTTTTTCCTTGGGTCCCAAGTTCAGTATAGGAGATGTCTTCAAGTCGAAGACATCGATGAGGGCGTGCTTCGCAGTCAGCTATGCAGGCAAGCCTAAGCCTAAGAGAGCCTGATTCATTCCCAAACTCGAAAGGCGAACTGCCGGAGAATCGATCCACGCCTCATCAGATTATGGTTGTTCACAAATCTACATGAATTATGATAATGATGATGACTGCTAGAGCCTGGAAGACGACGACGTGTACCATTACTGCTCCTCCTGCCACTGCTGGTGCTACTGCTACCACCACCACCACCACCGCCGCTGCAGCTGCTGCTGCGACCACTACTACTACTACTACCACCACCACCACCACCACCACCACCACGACGACGACTACTACTACTACTACTACTACTACTCCTGCTACTACTCCTGCTGCTGCTGCTGCTGCTGCTGCTGCTGCTGCTGCTACTGCTACTACTACTGATGCTACTGCTGCTGGTACTGCTGCTGCTACTACAACTGCTGCTACTGCTGCTGCTACCAGTGCCACTACTACTATTACTACTTTACTACTACTTCTACAACAACAACTTCTACTACGACGACTACTACTACTACTACGACGACGACGACGACCACGACGACCGCGACGACGACGACGACTACTACTGGTACTACTAGTATGATGACTGTTCTATGACTAGTACTGCTATTAATTATGCTAATGCTGTGATATTTCTTGCTCATGAATACCTCCTGATATATGTTACGACGGTTACACGAACCGTCAAGATTAGTAGTGTTCTTCGTTACTGCAATACCACCGGGACGGTATATTCCTTCCTTTCATGTCAAAGTCGAAGAGAGTCAAGGTTCTTACTACAGTTATGACAATGGGAGTTGAAGGAGTTGCTGTGACAATTGTTGTTGCTATGACGCTTCTTTTTCTCGTAGCCACTTGATGGCTTCATGTATGCGCCGTGGTTGTAATACTGGTGGCTGAGATTGTTATTGGTGCTGTGCTAGTGTGATGTTTAGCATGGTTGGCCAGCGGTCTCACTAGCACGACTTTGGCATATACCAAGAAAGGGCTACCGTTCCTATGATTCTCACATCATCTTTTCACGATCGATTACGCGTGGCGTCGCTTCTATTTCCTGCTGTCTCAGGACTTGCAGACAAAAAACAAAAAGTTTCAGGACCCCCACTTTGCAGAAAGCCCAAGAACCCTGAAATCTCAGACCGAGCAAATGAAAGCGCGAGTCCAATAGGGACACCTTATTATTATTCGTAAGCATTCTTAAAGGAAGGCACCTTCTAAGTATTTCTTGTCTATATTCGGGTTCCCTATTTCTGAAACTGAGAGCTAAGAAACATCCACAGCCCTGAACTCCATAAATCTTCTTGCAACTCTGCTCGGCCGGGGCCTGGCAACTCCGCTTTTTGTCTCGGTTAGTCGGGCCTACACCGAAGAATTTGCGCTCCAAAAAGACGGGGCCTGAATCACTTCAATAGCGTTTCAGCATAAACTATTTCATAGCTTTTTAAAATTATACAGAAGGACCATGAGGGCGAATATCATTGCCCAAAGGACGTTAAAACCGTGCTGTGGCTCAGGCTGGCTGTGGGCCCCAGGCACGGCCGTAAAGATCCGGTCGCCGGGATCCTGGCGCACATGGGCGTTTCAGGAATGGGAGACCCGAGTAGAAACCCGAAACAAAAGGATCCTTACTCCTTACCATAAGGACCCGTAGATACCCCGGCGTTCCGAAACCCTCATAGAGGGGGGAGGTGTTCAACCCTACAAATTCGAGTGAGAGTTGGCTGGGTGCCTGGAGTTTCGGATTTTAAGGGGCCATCTCATCACAGCACCGAAGTTGTGAGGCGGGACTTATCATCCGACAGCGAGTCGCGGGTGTGCAGATTTTTCTCACTTGATGATCGTGAAACCACGATTGCAATGCTCCTTCGAACACGACTGATCAGTAAACCCCGAAACCCCTAAACCCCTGAACCCTAAACCCCCAAGCCATAAACCCTAGGACTTAGGGTGCCCATGGGAGCATGGCGGGGCACGTCCTCGACGCCATCGTTTTCCTCCAAAGGCCTCCTGGCGTTGGTGAGTCAGCGTTTTTTGGAAGCTTCAGAAAACTCAGATTTGGATGGGTGCGGGGTCCTTATAATCAAGATCATGTTCTTATGCGCGGCTCTATACTAGGATCATTATGTTCCTACGCGGCAGCCACAACCCACAGAGTAGGTTTGTGGAACGTGCAGTGCTCTAAGTTTCTGCCGCCATAACGCGACAAGTTCCCAAGTTGGCAAGCTGGGAGCATTTCTCTTGCTCGGAACCCCCAAGCCTGAAGTATAATAAGGAACCCTTAAATTAGTATAGGTACTTATTTAGGCCCCTATATTACTGGTATGGAGGAGGGCCCGAATGCATTCCGATCCCGATGGGGTGAGGCCTGTAGGGCTTGGCATCGGCTAGTTTCGACTGTGGCTCATTGTCAAGTCAGGTTGCATCACCATAACCCCCCAGGTACCTACTATATAGGGTACTAGAGCCCCTAGGGCCCTATATAGTAGGTACCTGGGGGGGGTTAGGGTCAGATGAAACCCAGACTCCCGAAATGTCCCTAGATCCGCCAAACTTTAAGCTTGATCTCCCTTGGCTATGTTGCACTCCCCACTGCTACCCCAAAATCACATCTAACACATGTGGAGAGGTCTGCTAGACTGTGCGATTCCACCTTTAGTGCGCAACCTAATAAGACCTAGCAAGATTCAGAAGGAACTTCGGTATAAAGAAGCAACTGAGTCCAACCTTCATGTAAGCATATCAGACATGAGCGAGCCTGGCCACGAGCACTTTCTCCTTGGCTGTTTCTGCACTTGACTGTCGATTCTCGCGGCTTGGATGGAGAGCTGCTCAGAGCTGGGGTTCGTCTGAACTCATGGCCATAACTCTTCGGACTAAGGGTTTGGGGGTTCGTACAACAAGCATCTTGGAGAATCCAAGATGCAAACAAGTCCCACTGACCCGCCGGGCGTGTGACAAAGCCCACCGACCTGAAACTCCAAACCTAAAGCCCCCAAACCCTGAACCTTAGGCTCAGGCAGAGGCGCCTCCTTCTTCATAGTCTAAAAGTGGCGCTTGGGTCTTCTTCTGCCCTTCACATAGGAATCTGACTGATTGCGCCCTAGGTGGCCTTTGATAGGGTGCTTAGTATATGAACCCTGCTATTTACGGGGGTCGAACGAATTGCCTCTTGAACAGTTTCCCACCTTAACAGGAGCAGTTCAATTACTTGAACCATTGACGCTACAGAGGAAGCACTACACAGAGAACTTCATGCTTGAAACGTAAAGCCGGGAACTTGTCCAACAAGCCGTGCGGAGGAGGGAAATCCAAAACCTTTTGCTTTCAGCCAGCCGAAACTTGGTATGTAAATCCTATATCCCATGCTGCCCAGAATATCTTGCCATTCATGGCCTCTTCTGCACAGCTTGCGTGCAAACCTGAAGCTGCTACCCACATCCCGACTCCAAGTGTTTGCAAAGGCTCAAAGGGAAGCCGTGGCCGATCTGCGCCAAAGGGGAGGACTGGCTCGCCATCGTTGGTCACCTGGGTCACTTCAGATTCAATGCCTTGCGGAATCCCAAGATTCACAGCGAAAAAAGGCCTCAAATCACCAACTCTATTCAAACCCCAATGCCGAAGCCTCACCGTGGACAATGCCAGGTTGGGATTACCCTCCCGTAAGACCTGAAAAGGGCCCTGCTGTCCTATTAAGCAAAACCTTCTTCAGGGGTTCCATACTGTAGGGGCCTTAATGATTCGAATAGGGGTTTGGGGTGAGCTATACTGTAACTATAATAAGGAACCCCCAAATTAGTATAGGTAATTATTTAGGCCCCTATATTACTGGTTTGGAGGAGGGCATGCTGTCCTTGTTAATCGTAATTATTGCCACTCTCAGTGCTTGCGGGCTTCTCTAACTCTAAATCTCAAGGCTGGCTTACTTTCATGCGAATTTCTAGGACAGTCTGCATGCACACCCGTATTGAAATGATCTAGGTCCCTGAATTGCAATTTCCTGAGACCGGATGCGTCGGAAACAAGGCTGGAGGAGCTTGGATTTCAAGATGTGAGGGGTGTTCGACATTAACTACAGTTCCCTTCAATAACAATGTAGTCGGCTGAATACGCAATAGCTGATTGTGCTTGACAATATGCTCTTTGACTACATAAATTCGTCAGCTCTTCTCACAAGAAAGCCATGCAAAAAAGCGGCCGCACTGCAGAACAACCCCCAGATTAGAGATTCTAGCCTGCAGCTGGTGGCTAAGACAGCGGCTTTGATCCATATCCAGCATGCAACTTGGCGAAGCCCCCACCTCAGGCATAGGCTCAAGGTTTATTTAGGCTTGAGGGTTTGGGGTTTAGGCTTTGAGGGCTCTGGCAGTGTATGGCAGTCTTGTTTTGACGCCGTCTTGTTTTGACCGTGCTTGGACAGGGGCTCGTGTCAGCAAGAACCTCGCCATCAGAAGTCGTCTTCTGACGTCGGTGGATGCTTCTGGTAAGCCGGATATGTGATAACCTTTCAATCTGAGAGCATCAAAAGCCGAGGCGCTGGGGGAAGAGTTTCTCCGACACAAAAGCCTGCACGGGGGCCAGAATACGAGTATGTAAAGTATGAGACTCCGGATTTTGCAGATGTACTACAGATATGCGTATATGTAGGTAGATAGGCATAAAAGACAGATAGATAGGTAGATAGATAGGTAGATAGGTAGATAGGTAGATAGGTAGATAGAGAGATGTGGGAATATAATATATAAGGGTATGTAGAAATATAGATATACAGAATATGTAGATGTAGATACAGATAGGGTCAGATAGGGTTACAGATGCAATATGTACTTCTGCTGCCGTTGTTTATGAGCCTGTAGTGGTACGAAACTTCACATTCGAGCATTTAGTTTGTACCATGCCGTCTACATTTCATCTTTCACACGCAAAACACAGTGCTGTCGCCTGCCTTTCTGGTTGGCACAGCTTCCTGGCCTACCTCCCAAGCCTCATTTCACCCGCATCTTCTAGGCCCTCGATCCTAAACCCGAAAACATGGCCCCAGCCTGCTTCTTCGGATCGTTAGTCACCTGCCAGTAGGCTCAGCTAACGTGCCACGCACAGACGGCCTATCCCCAAAACGTGCGCTCCGCTAAAAGAAGGGGCATCCTTCATTCATGAAGGGGTGTCTCTCTGGCTTCCACAGCATCCGGGCGCTACACTGTCTGGGAGTGCGCTGGCGGCCCTGGCGGGGTTTGGGGCTGAGGTCCTAGGATCTGGGAAAGAAAAGTTTGGGATTTCGATGATTCGGGTGCACAAAGGCAGGCTCTAGGACCCAGAACTCTGGAATCGAAGTGGGAGCCCCTTCGAGGATCAAGGAGGCCCTTGGGAGTATGATCAGGACTTGTTTCTGGACTTGTCTCTACATCAAGCCCAATACATCTTGCAAAGATGCCTTTGCTTCACAACTATGCCCTTTATCGAAGCCCTGAAAATAACCTGTAAGCCAGCCCACAATCAAATAACAAAAATGGTAATAACAATAATAATACTATAGTAATAATAATAATAAGAAGAAGAATCATAATAATAATAGCGTCTCCTTTGCCCCCTGCTGCCAGGGAGCCCACAAGGCACAGAGGCCACCGGGAGCCAAGAGCTCTCCCAAGCGTAGCTGTGGGAGCCTCAGAGCCGTCTCCATTGTAGTTCCTTTTTGGGGATACCTTATAAACTCGTTAATACATATTTGATTACACCAAAAAAAAGAAACTACAATGGAGACTATAGGTTGCTCCGTTTTAGAAAGATCTAAAAACAGCCTGTCTACAAAGGCTTATATATGGGGGTTGCCGAAAATTAGGGGATCCTAATATCGTACCCTACATAGTACCCTACATAGTAGGGTTTAGGGTTTAGGGTTTCCGAAAATTAGGGGTTCCTAATATAGTACCCTACATAGTAGGAGTGTTTGGTTGGGGACTCGGGGTCAAGGGAGATGCCAGCCATTGCACTTTCAACTTGAGGGGTGTGGATTGTGTGCGTGTGTGTGAGTGCTTACAGGTGTGCTGACTTTGAGACTTGCTTAAGGGCGCGGGCCCAAAAGGGGTTTAGGCTTTGGGTTTGAGCGCTCTGGAGTTTAGGGCTTTGTGGCTTCACCTTTCGGAGGCTCTCCAGCTCTGAAATAGCTTTGAAGATTTCCGAACAGGAGCTCGCAGGATTTAGGGGACGGTAGGTATGTTTCCATGGCCCTGTTTCCGTATGGTAAAGCACGGGTTCAGGATTTCGACTTGGGGCTTGCATGGACCTATAGAAACTGCTGCAATATCGGCATCTTGTTTCATTCCTTACAAATCAGGTTCAGGTTCACAGTTCCAGCACGCGGAGAAAATGGGGTTTCAGCCTTCGGCTGTTCCTGCCTGCCTTAGGAGGATGGGTTAACAACTCGATTCCATTAAAATTTTGGGCCCAAGCCGCCAAAAAAGATAAAAGGCCCGCGCCTGTTAAAATCAAGTAAAGTACGCTCAAAGCTCCCGGCATCAGACAATGGCTGGGAGCTCTTCGTGGCTGTACAAGCATGCCAGGCATGCCAAAGAGCACTACAAAGTGCTGAGCCTAGCTACACTTGCAACAACACCTTTCACATCTCATTACATGAGGATCGTCGGCAGCATATGAAGCTTCGGTAACTCACCCTGCTGCACAGAAAGCATTGGGCACTTGTCCTGCAGCTGCTGGAATGGGCAGCCACATGCACGGTGGCACTCACGGTCAGCCCCACACTTGTCATGGCACTCCATTTTGCTCGCCAGCTTAGCTTGCAGATCNNATGGGGCACGCCCTGTGGCAAGCACCATCGTGGCCACACTTGGCATGGCACATCTTCACCTCCAAGACGTCGGAGCAAAATGCCGTCTGCACGACGGCCGGATGCCAGTCATGGTGCCAGCCATGGTGGTGATGGTGGTGGAAATGCTCCAACATCGGGCACTTGTCCTGCAGCTGCTGGAATGGGCAGCCACATGCACGGTGGCACTCGCGGTCAGCCCCACACTTGTCATGGCACTCCAT